GTAGCGGGTCAGTGCGCCCATAACCCCCCAAGACAACGAATCTGTAACCCTTCCCTAGGATCAATCGGGTGTTAGAATATACTTATATATTCTTTATAACTGTCTGTAGTGTAGACTGTAGTGTATCTCACTTGCTGTAGGTGGTGTACCATGTGGCTTTCTCCTTGCTATATCTTGTACCTTGCTCAATAGTGAAACACACATTTCTCGACCTTTCCCTTGCCTAAACTCTCTCGACATTGAACCCTAGCATGGCTCCTACCCTCCTAGCTACTATCTTGACATGGTATTAGAGAGGTTACGACCTAATGGGCCCACCGAAATTTAATCCTTGCATGGCGTCCGCCTCGCTGGCGCCCGTCATTTTTCTGCCCGTCGTGCGCCCCGGGCGCGCGTCGATTTTCAGCCTGTCGCGCGCCCCGGGCGTGCGTCGGTTTCTGCCCGTCGCACGCCCCGGGCGTGCATCAGCTTCTGCCCGTCGCACGCCCCGAGCGTGTGGTGGTTTCTGCCCATCGCACGCCCCGGGCGTGCGTCGGTTTTCTGCCCGTCGCACGCCCCGGGCGTGTGGCGGTTTCTACCCGTCGCTCGCCCCCAGCGTGCGACGGTTTTCTGCCCGTCGCGTGGGGGCCCTGCTGCCCTGCTTCCCATCGTCCCCGCCGCCCACTTCCTTCTCCCTCTCCTACTTCGCGTGCAGCAGTTTGGGCGGGGGGAAGGGGGGGAGGGTGTTGGGGGGACGCAAGGGTGGTGTTGGGGGGAGGTTGCACCTCCAGCGCCCCGCTGCTCTGCTTCGTCACCAAGCCAGCAGCCCCCCCCCCCCCCCCCGCCCTTCTCCTCCATCCCCCTGCTGCGCGTGCAGCAGTGGAGGGGAAGGTATGGGGGTGGCGGGTGTGGCGCACGACGGGTGTGGGGGGGAGGGTACGGGGGAGCTTGGAGGTTAAGGGGGTGGCAGGAATGGATCTGCAGCACCAGGCCTCCCGCCCCCTCCTTCTCCTCCATCCCTCTGCTGCGGGTGCAGCAGTGGTGGGGAGGGGATCTGCAGCACCAGCCCCCCCGGCCCCCCTTCTCCTCCATCCCCCTGCTGCGGGTGCAGCAGTGGGGGGGGGGGTATGGGGGTGGCGGGATCTTGGAGGTTAAGGGGGTGGCAGGAATGGATCTGCAGCACCAGCCCCCCCCGCCCCTCCCCTTCTCCTCCATCCCCCTGCTGCGGGTGCAGCTGTGGGGGCGAGGTTATGGGGGTGGCGGGTGTGAGTGAACTGCTGCCACCTCTCCTCCTCTCTCTCCCACTGCTGCACAAGCCGCTGTGGGGGGGGGGGGGAGGGTGTGGGGGAGATGTGGGAGTGGCGGTAGGGATGTTGAGGGGTATGAAAGGGAGGTTTGGGGAAATGGGGGAAGTTGAAGGGGGGTGCACGCCGTGAAGCCAGCAGCTCCAGTCGCCCGTGAGACCGTTGCGCCAGTTTCCCGTGAGCCCGTTGCTCCTGTCGCCCGTGAGTCAGTTGCTCCAGCCGCTCGCTTAGCCGCGGAGCCAGTTACTCCAATTGCCCGTGTGCCAGTTGCTCCATTTGCCACAGTGCCAGTTGCTCCAGTTGCCCGTGTGCCAGCAGCTTCAGCCGCCACCCACCACCTCCTCTCCTCTCATGGTCCCTCCTCCTCTTCACTTGCCCTCTCCTTCCTCCGCTGCGCTTGGTGTACCCCTTCAGGGGGTGTTGTGCACAAGGTTCTTCACTACAGGGTGTGTTAAAATATACATATATATTTTTTATAACTGTCTGTAGTGTAGACTGTAGTGTATCTCACTTGCTGTAGGTGGTGTACCATGTGGCTTTCTCCTTGCTATATCTTGTACCTTGCTCAATAGTGAAACACACCTTTCTCGACCTTTCCCTTGCCTAAACTCTCTCGACATTGAACCCTAGCATGGCTCCTACCCTCCTAGCTACTATCTTGACATCGGGGATCACCAGTGGACCCTCTGACAATACACACACACACATATACAGACACACATACACACACACATATACACACACACACGCACGCACGCACGCACACACACACACACACGCACACACACACACACACACAGGTTGGTGCAAAGGGTGCAAAGATAAACGATTTCAAATTCGTCTAGCACAAATGTTGTCGCTGGCGCGAATCTCCCTTAGTCAATTTCATGTTCGATCTCGGCCGTTGAGAAGGAAGACGATCCGATGCTCCAAAATCCAACCCTTTTGGGCGAAATTCTCTGGATCGTTGAGATGAGATTTGATATAACCGTCAAAATTCCAACCTTTTCGCCAAAAAACCTGATGTGTGTTTGAAAAACGTGTTAAGGGAGACCGAAAAAAATACGCGGAACTGGTTTTATATAACCGATTTCGGCGCTTCTCGTCGTCGCCCTCACGATTTTTTTAAGACTGTTTTTTATCAATTGAAGAACTTCGCGTGTAAACAAGCTGTGATTACCAAGTGTGAGGATCGAATAACTGGTTCATAAAATAGATTATCATCACTTCGATACATCACGAGGCTATACGTAGGCTCGACACTAAGTCAGTAACCCAGTGTTACTAGAAGGTTCCATGGATCGCGAAGCGTTCTAAACGGGTTCTTCCCGAATTCGGTAGAAGCAAGTTGGTGGCAACCGAAAAGCCTAGAATTTAGTGCACGCAAAATAAAAAGGTGTTATAACTACAATAAATATGGCTCCTGAACAAGATGGTGAGGACCCCTGCCGTGACAGAAGATTCCTCGGAGTACAAGCAAAAGATTCAGGGGTACAGCAACGATTCTAAGGAAAACAAGCAAAAGCATGCAAAATAAAATAAGGCTAAGCAAGAGAAAGCATAATAAGGTAAATCCAAGTAGGCAGAGCCGTCGTACTCTCACAACACTCCTTCAAAGAGTTTCCCGAGGTGTGTATTTAAAAACCGACCACGGGTCCTAGGTATCCCGGCCGTAGTTTCCCCGCCATGCCACGTAAAAGTGACCCTTCAGGCGAAGTTTTCCACGGCTCAACCGCGCTCCAAGAATTTCGGTAACACCCTCGACTCCACCTTTTTTTCTTTTAATTTCACCGTAGAAAGATGACCCGAAAATTTTGGTTGCGGCAACAAGTCCCAAAAAAAAAAAAAAAAAAAAATCCGCCGTGTAGCCCCGACGTTTTGGAGGTACTCCGACGTTCACCCGTCTTCATACCCATCGAAAGCCACGTAGCAGATCCTAGGTATCCTTGGCGATGCACCCTCCACCGTGCCTCGGTACTTCAAATTGCCAACCCCTTAGGCGTCCACCGAGTAGACCCTGAAATCCATGGAGAAGCTGTGCAAGGGCTCAACCACACTCAAGAAACATGAAGGAGCACCCACGACTTTTCCTCCGTATTTTTTGTCTTCACCCCCCGACAATTTCGCTTCCCGCCGTTCACCCAGCGTTCGCTTTTGTCAGATGAGGCATTTGTCGGTCTTGCCCGCGCGAACCCGGCTACAGTGAAGGCAAAAAAACTATCAGAGTCGGGGTAGCCTTAGTTAAAAGGTGTCAGAATGTATTTGTTGTTTAGCCTGCAGTGGGGTACTCTGTAGTGAGTACAACCCAATTTAGGGTTTGCTATTTGTATCCCAACTTTCTATAGTGAAACCCCTCATTCTCCTTTCCAATCCTCTCGACACTCAATTCTATCGACACTCAACTCTCTCGACACTCACTAGCCATGGCTCCTAAGTCACGCTAGGATTCTAACATGGCATTAAGAGCAATAGTTCATAGGACCTCACATCAATGGGCCCACCACCTAATGCCCTGCTAGCCTAGGCCCCGGCCCGTCGCCCCTTGGCGTCGCCCCTAGCCCCTAGGCTCGGCCCCTTGGCCCCGTCGCCCCTAGCTCGGCCCCTCGGCCCCGCTGGCCCCGTCGATTCCGTCGCCCGCGCCCGGCCCGTACCTAGCCCGCGATCGGCCCGTACTTAGCCCGCGACCGGCCCGTACCTAGCCCGTGATCGGCCCGTACCTAGCCTCGCGCCCGGCCTCCGTTCCACGCCCAACGCCCGGCCCCGTACCTAGCCCGCGCCCGGCCCGTACCTCGCCCGCGCCTGGCCCCGTCCCTAGCCCGCGCCCGGCCCGTACCAAGCCCGCGCTTGGCCCCGTCCTTTGCCCAGCGCCCGGCCCGTACCTAGCTCGCGCCCGGCCCGTACTTAGCCCGCGACCGGCCCGTACCTAGCCCGTCGCCCGGCCTCGTCCCTAGCCCATCGCCCGGCCCAGTACCTAGCCCTCGCCCGGCCCCGTACCTGCCCAGCGCCCGGCCACGTACCTGCCCAGCGCCCGGCCCCCTCCCTTGCCCAGCGCCTGGCCCCGTACCTAGCCTCGCGCCCGGCCTCCGTTCCGCGCCCAACGACCGGCCCCGTACCTAGCCCGCGCCCGGCCCAGTACCTAGCCCGCGCCCGGCCCCGTACCTAGCCCGCGCCCGGCCCAGTACCTAGCCCGCGCCCGGCCCCGTACCTAGCCCCGCGCCCGGCCCCATTCCGCGCCCAACACCCGGCCCCGTACCTGCCCAGCGCCCGGCCCCGTACCTGCCCAGCGCCCGGCCCCGTACCTGCCCAGCACCCGGCCCCGTACCTAGCTGCGCCCCTCGGCCCCACTGGCCTCGTCGCCCCTAGCTATGGCAAGAGGGGTGATGACTTCCTGCCCGCGTGCCCTGCAGTCGCACGCGCAGCTCCGCCCCCGCCCCCCTCCCCCCCCTCCCCCTCCTCCATGGGGACGGGGGGGAGAGGGTGTGAGGGGGTGGCGGATGTGCCTCAGCAGCAGCAGCTGCCGCCGCGCCTCCTCCTCTATCTCTCCCTGCCGCACCTTGTGTTGGGAGGGGGGGGGAGCTTGGAGGTTCAGGGGGAGGCAGGAGGGGATCTGCAGCACCAGCCCCCCACACCCCCCCTTTTCTCCTCCACCCCTGCTGCGGGTGCAGCAGTGGGGGGCAGGGGATCTGCAGCAGCAGTGGGGGGAGGGGATTTGCAGCATCAGCCCCCCCCCCGCCCTTTTCTCCTCTCTCTCTCTCCCTGCCGCACCCTGTGTTGGGAGGGGGGGGGAGCTTGGAGGTTCAGAGGGAGCCAGGAGGGGATCTGCAGCACCAGCCCCCCCCGCCCCCCCCCCCCTTTCTCCTCCACCCCTGCTGCGGGTGCAGCAGTGGGGGGGAGGGGATCTGCAGCAGCAGTGGGGGGAGGGGATTTGCAGAATCAGCCCCCCCCCCCCCCCCCCCCCCCCGCCCTTTTCTCCTCTCTCTCTCCCTGCCGCACCCTGTGTTGGGAGAGGGGGGGAGCTTGGAGGTTCAGAGGGAGGCTGGAGGGGATCTGCAGCACCAGCCCCCCCCCGCCCCGCCCCTTTTCTCCTCCACCCCTGCTGCGGGTGCAGCAGTGGGGGAGAGGGGATCTGCAGCAGCAGTGGGGGGAGGGGATTTGCAGCATCAGCCCCCCCCCCCCCCAGCCCCCCCCCCCCCCCCCCCCCACTTCTCCTCCATCCCCCTGCTGCGGGTGCAGCGGTGGGGGGGAGGGGATCTGCAGCCCTGTGCTGCCCTGCAGCCCTGCGCGCCCTGCTGTCCTGCTGCCCTGCGCGCCCTGCGCGCCCCGCGCGCCCTGCTGCCCTGCAGCCCTGTGCGCCCTGCTGCCCTGCAGCCCTGTGCGCCCTGCTGCCCTGTGCGCCCCGCGCGCCCTGCAGCCCTGTGCGCCCCGCGCGCCCTGCTGCCCTGCTGCCCCGTGCGCCCCGTGCGCCCTGCTGCCCTCTGCACGCGCCATGCACAGCCCCCCCCCCCCCCCCCTTTCTCCTCCATCCCCTGCTGCAGGTGCAGCAGTGGGGGGAGGGTATGGGGGTGGCGGGTGTGTGAACCGTCCCCTGCTCCTCCTCCTCCTCCTCCGTCTCCCACTGCTGCAGCTGCCGCTGAGGGGGGTGGGTGTGTGGGAGCCGAGGGAGTGGTGCTAGGGGGGTGACGTGGGAGTGGAGTTAGGGGTGCAGCAAGGGGTGTGTGTAAGGGGGGTGGGACAGTTGGGGGAGGTTGAGCGGAGGCTGCCGTCTTGTAGTCCGCAGCACCTGTAGTCCGGGGCTCTGCTTCTGGTAGCTCAGAGAGCCTGCTGCGCCTGTCGCCTGTGGGTCCGTTGCTCCTGCCGCTCAGAGTTAGCCGCAGAGCCAGTTACTCCTGTAGTCCGGGGATACGGCCCCGGTAGCCACAGTGCGCGCCGCTCCTGTTGCCCGTGTGTCTGCAGCATCAGCCGTCGCCTCCTATCTCCTCTCCTCTCACAGTCCAGCCTCCTCCTCACTTGCCCTTTGTGAATGCCTCTAGCTTTGCTTGTACTTGTGAACCTGCTCTATGACTGCTTGCTCTGCTGATTATACCCCACTTTGACTATGGGGGTGTGTCAGAATGTATTTGTTGTTTAGCCTGCAGTGGGGTACTCTGTAGTGAGTACAACCCAATTTAGGGTTTGCTATTTGTATCCCAACTTTCTATAGTGAAACCCCTCATTCTCCTTTCCAATCCTCTCGACACTCAATTCTCTCGACACTCAACTCTCTCGACACTCACTAGCCATGGCTCCTAAGTCACGCTAGGATTCTAACAAAAGGAACTTACACCCAACCGCTTTGCAGCCCACTGTGCCTATCACGCTACTAAACTCCACTGCTTCCGGGTCCCAGCTTCGCCGCTGTGCCGTCACATCGTGTAGACGTCCGGGTCAGGAAAAACCTGTAGACTGCTTCGCAGCTCCTCGATTTTTTCGCGTGTTGTTTCACCCAACCCACTTTTGTTAGAGTAGAACAGTGCCGCGAACTCCTCTCTTTTTTTCTGTACAGCTATCAAACGAGCACCAATCTATGTGCCTTCAACCAGCAAATGGTAGGCATGTGTTCACCCCCGTTATCGATCTGAATCAGGTTGGCTGCATGAGTCAGAACCAGTACTCGGTGGGGATGGTGAGGCTCGGGCGGAGTAGGGCTGCAGATTGGTTCCACTGGATTTTAACCTGCTCCCCACAACGCTCTTCAACCTCCGCTTAGCCATCGGGCGGTTTCTTCCCGTGTGTCCCGGCGGCTTGTACCACTCTCCTCCGTAAATGTCGGGGTGGTACCTTGAACACCGTTTAACCGTGTGTTGTTGCGGCTGTCCCCGAAAACGGCTTCCTTGAACGACGAAACCAATCTCGAAATTGTCGAACAGCTGGCAACCAGCTCCAGGCACGCAGCGTCGAACGAGTATTTTCAGGTGTTCGTCCCGATATGCCCTTGCTGTCGGAATGTAATTGTATAGATTATTCTATAACTGCCTATAGTGAAGACTTAGTGTAGTTCTATGCCTTGTTGTCGTGGTGCACCTTCTTTCTTTGCATGCTCTTTCCTATTTGTACCCTCGCTCAATATTGAATCATCCTCTTTGGCTTGCTCAACTCTCTCGACACTCACGCTAGTACCCTCAAACCCTAGTCATGGCTCCTTAACCTATGAGCTTACTTTGACATGGTATTAAGAGCGATACGTTCCTACGGACCTTTCCATAATGGGCCCACCACACTTCCGTCATGCCTTCGTCCCGCGTTCTGCCCGTGGCGAACGCGCCATCGACCGTGGCAAAAGCGCCATCGACCGTGGCGAACGCGCCAGCAGTGCGCAGCCCGTCACACGCCCCGTCACACAGCAATCGTGCGCACAGCAGCACGCACACCCGCGCGGAGTAGCAGCGTGCACGCCTACGCACGTAGCAGTCGCCCGCGCAAGCAGCAGCAGTACGCACAGTAGTGCACAAAGCAGCAGTGGCGAACGCACGCGCAGATGCAAGCGCACGTGCAGCAGCCGCCAACGCGCGCAGCAGCACGCGCACGCGCAGCAGCAGCCCCCGCGCGTGCGCAGAAGACGCACGCGTAGCCTCTGCCGCAGCCGCGCGCCGCTACGCCCCATCTGTCTCCCTGCCGCGCCTGCTGGCGTGGGGGGGGGAGGGTGAGGGGGTGACGGTGTCAGATATATATGCCTTAGCACATGTAGGCTGTAGTGGCTCTAAGGGGTACAGGTTTCTTATTTGTACCAAACTCATTCATAGTTCATTCATTCCTGTTTTCTTTCTTCACATGGTATAGAGCGGGTTCCTACATGGGACCGTTCCTTCCTAAGGGCCCACCATAACGAAAATTTTTTTTTTAGCTGCCCGACGCGCGCTGCGCCCCTGCCCTAATTTTTTTTTTTTAGTGGCCCCCCCTAGCGGCCCCTACGCGACCCCTACGCGGCCCCTACGCGACCCCTACGCGGCCCCTACCCGGCCCCTACGTCGCCCCTGACGCGGCCCCTACGCGGCCCCTTACGCGGCCCCTACGCGGCCCCTGACGCGGCCCCTACGCCGCCCCTGACGCGGCCCCTGCCGCGGCCCCTGACGCGGCCCCTGACGCGGCCCCTGACGCTGCCCCTGACGCGGCCCCTGACGCGGCCCCTCCGCCGCCACTACCGCGGCCCCTACGCCGCCCCTGACGCGGCCCCTGACGCGGCCCCTGACGCGGCCCCTGACGCGGCCCCTAACGCGGCCCCTGACGCGGCCCCTGACGAGGCCCCTGACGCGGCCCCTGACGCGGCCCCTACGCCGCCCCTGACGCGGCCCCTGACGCGGCCCCTGACGCGGCCTCTGCCGCGGCCCCTGACGCGGCCCCTGACGTGGCCCTACGCCGCCCCTGTCGCGACCCCTACGCCGCCCCTGACGCGGCCCTCTACTGCACCTGACGCGGCCCCTACGCCGTCCCTTCACAGCCCGGCCCTGTCCCTGACGCGGCCCCTACGCGACCACGCGGCCCCGACCCCGTCCCGGACCTGCCCCGTCCCCGACCCTGTCCCGGCCCCGTTGCTGCTTTGTCCCGGACCTGCCCCGGCCCCGACCCTGTCTCGGCCCCGTTGCTGCCCCGTCCCGGACCCTGCTCGGCCCCGACCCTGTCCCGGCCCTGTTCCGGCCCCGACCCCGTCCCGAACTCTCGGCTCTGCCCCTGGTGAGAGCCTAGCCGGGCCGAGCCGCGCGGCCGAGCCGCACTGCTTTGCCGAGTCGCCCTGCCGAGTCGCACTGTCCTGCCTCGCTCAGTTGCACTGCTGCCGCTGCTAGTCTGCTGCTGCTCCTATCATGGCTAGTCCTAGTCTTCTCACCTTTGATGCTGAGGGTCGAGCGGTTGACTTTGATGTCTGGCTAGATGATCTGCAGCTTTTCCTTCAGTGCGATAGCAAGGATGGTCTCTCCCTGTTTGATCTTACGTCGGGCGCCTCTACTGCCCCTGCTGCTGATGCTGACAGTACCGTTCGCTCGCAGTGGCTCACGCGCGATGCTGCTGCCCGCCTTGCTGTGCGCAGTCACCTACCGCCTACTGAGCGCGCGCACTTTAGTCAGTACAAGAGTGCTAAGACTCTGTACGACGCTGTAGTTGCACGCTACTCTTCCCCTGCCACTGCTGCGCTTAGCCGCCTCATGCTACCGTACCTTTTCCCTGACCTCGCTGCCTTTGCCACAGTCACTGACCTCATTACGCACCTCCGCACTAGTGACACTCGCTACCGCGCTGCGCTCCCTGCTGAGTTCTGCGCCCAGAACCCCCCCCCCATGTACATCACCCTCTACTACCTAGTCACTCGACTCCCTGACACTCTCCGCTCTGTCAGGGACCACTTCCTCTCTCTTTGCCCTACCACCCTCACTGTTGACCTCCTCGAGGAGCGCCTCCTTGCAACAGAGACTAGTATTACCGCTGTAGGCGCCTCTCGTGGTGACCCCCGTACCCCTTTCTTTGAGGGGTGCTCCCCCGTTCCTCTTTTGCCCTCTGTTGCCTCTGCTGCTGCTGTCGACCTTGTTGGCTCCGAGTCGGTCAGCGCTGCGTCTGCTCCTAGTGAGAGGCGCCGCTTCAGCAAGGGCAAGCGGGGCAAGGGAGCTGGAGGAGGTGGTGGGGGCGGCGGTAGTGGCGGTGGAGGCGGCGGAGGGGGTGGGGGTGGGGGTGGTGGCAGAGGTGGGGGCTTCGGTGGCGGCGGTGGAGGTGGAGGCAGCGGTGGCGGTGGCGGGAGGGGTGGGGGCGGCGGAGGTGGCGGCGGCGGAGGTGGAGCTGGCAGAGGCGGAGCTGTACAGCGGGGACCCCAGCAGCAGCAGCGCTCTCGTGAGACCCCTTCACCCCAGCAGCTTCGTGAGTGGTACGCGGGGCGCCAGGGGTCTGGAGGTACTGGTCCCTGTACCTACGTCCTACGCACCGGCGACCGCACTGGAGAGCAGTGTGGCGGCCTCCACGCCACCCAGCGCTGCTTCGGTCGCCTGACGGACGCCTGGTGTGCTCAGTTCCCGGACGCCACTGAGATCCCTCGTTGGCATGATCTGCTCAGGTCGGGGGTAGCTATCTTTGATCTTGACTTTGATGCTATTCTTGCTGCTATGTATGCTGTGTCTATTAGTGCTGAGGGTGACTGTTACGTGTGTGTTCCGCCTGATCCTGGTATTGAGGCTGCTGCTCTAGGTGCTAGTGAGTCTGCTGCTCCAGGTACTCGTGAGTCTGCTCCTCTAGGTGCTGGTGAGTCTGCTCTCTCAGGTACCGCGTCGGCTCAGGTCTTTCACACCTTCACCCTCGACTCGGGTGCTTCCCGCTCCTTCTTTCGAGACCGCACCACCCTTACGCCGCTCAGTCGGCCGGTTGCGGTCTCCCTGGCAGACCCCTCTGGGGGTCCTATCCTTGCTCGCTACTCCACTGTCCTACCGTGTCCGGCGGCCCCGTCAGGCTCTCTGTCTGGTCTCTACCTCCCCTCG